AGATGTAAGGAAACCCCCAATCTCTTGGCATTCTGCAAAGGGGTCAAAATTTGGCTCTGGACCATGCAACCATGGAGCTAGCAATTCCCTTGAGAGGCCCCTCTCCCTATAATGTTAAATGGCCATTATAGGATTCCCCTCCCCTTTTTTGATGTTTAACTGTCATTATTCTATATTTTTTTAAAAAAATAATCCTTTTTTAATTGTAGCATTAATTTTTATGTTTTTTATTTATCAGTTATATTGCACACCCAGAGCCCCTTTGTGGGAGATAGATAGATAGATAGATAGATAGATAGATAGATAGATAGATAGATAGATAGATAGATAGATAGATAGATAGATGAAAGAAAGAAAGAAAGAAAGAAAGAAAGAAAGAAAGAAAGAAAGAAAGAAGAGTGACCCAGATGAGGTGTGCCCTGGAGTTGTATTTTTACGAGTATCCTCCTGGATGTATTTGCTCCAATGTAGAATGATGTAAATGTGCTAGCATGTAGCACAAAGCTACAACGTGATTTGCTTGATTTTCACTTAATGTCTATATCCAGTGCACTTGGATTAGTAAACTTGATTAACAGTTTCGAATTGTGATATATAAATCTAATAAATTGTGCTAATTCAGCAAACTTTAAATTTAGATTTTAAGTTATACTCAGAGAATGATAATCCCCAGTTTGCAAGTAAATGTTTAGCTAGAATTTTTCAGGATGTACCAACTTCTAAGATAATGCTAAATAATATTATAAATTGAATTCAAAATGCCTTTCTTTGAGTTTGTCAATTTATTTCTTGCCAAAAATGGGTATCTTCTTGAAATAATTTCCAGTTTGAAAATACAATAAATATTTGGCTAATCATAATTGTGCAAACATTGTTATGAAAACCTATTTTTTATCTTCAATATTTATAAATTGTGGTATAATAGATTTTTGGCTTTCTTCAGCACTACAATATTAATATCCTTTTTTCTGTTAAATTATATGCCTCCTCTGTATCAATTTTAAGTTATATCCAAACCATCCACTTAACAAGGTATATGTCTCTTAACTTACAATGAGACTTACTTCTGAATGGAATTGTATAGGCATAGTATTGTAACTCTTGCTGGACTTTTTCTCTCTCTGACCATATAAGGATCAGACAAAAAAATGATCTAGTTCACATTCTGTGAATGTTTAGTCATATATTTTTGGAAGCTCACAGGTCAGTTCTCTATTTGTTCTCTAAAACTGATATTCAGAATTTAGACCATGCTATAGATTTTCTTCACATATTTAGCACTACCAGACAATGCACTTTATTTACTGACCAATGCAACTGCAGTCCATGGATGTTTAGACTTTTAATGCATGGAATAAAAACACAAACCAAAATTAATTTTATTCCCTCAGTTTTCTCTATCTCTGTAAATAAATTTATTTCAACCATTAATAATGTAAACATATTAACTAAAGCTAAACTCTTCAATCACTGGAAACATTTCAACTGAAAAAGCATAGTATCTTATTTGTCAAATTTGTCAAATGTTAAGTGGTAATTAATGGCACTTAGGTATAATGATACATTGGCCTAAAAATAATGAAACAAATTATTAAAAGATTACATTTAGGCGATGCAATGTTTTTTCTTGAATATACTAGATAAAACCAGACTTTCTGATATCTGTGTCAGATTGTCCAGATCTTGATGTTTTATGATGCTTCTTGTTTATGTGCCCCCTGTGTGGCACTTTCCTGCAGTTTGTTATTTTTCTTCAACAGTGGAGGGAGGAAACCAACAATGCTGGGCAACCGCATTACATAGCACAAGGTAACCATGGAAGCATTTGTCCAATTGTTAAGACCCTTCCAGTGATTCAGCCATTCATTTCTTTGAATCAATATTGAAGCTTTTAAGATTTATTATTCGGGAGCTTAGACAAAACTAATGAAAGAAATTTGTTGTTTCTTTCCATCACTCCATTCTATCATGTTAAGCATATATTAAGACCTTGTAAACCCTTGTGTGCAGTAAGTAATGTTACTACTTTTTCCTTGTGGAAATCTAATCATAAGATCCTGGTATTAACATTCCTGACACTATGTGAAAAGAACTTAAGAACTTCTAAAGCAGATTGCCATAAAGGATGAATCTAATAAAAAGACAAAGAGAACACAAGAATAGAATATGGGAGTGGAGCAAATTGCTTTAAAATCCCTCAAAAAAAGCTTTTAAAATTGGTGTAGCTCTGTTAGAAGTCCCTTGCACTTAAATATTTAGGAATGTTCTCATTTCTTAATATTTTTATTAAAGATTTTTAAATGTATAAATTTATTTATGTAGTAAATTTATAAGCCATTTATCTCATATACATGACTCCGGACAGCTCACAGGGTTGCAATTCCATATACTTAATTGAAAATAAAACTTACTTCTTAGTACAGTAACACTGTATGTCAGTTTTGTCAACGGAGTTTTACCTATATGCAGATATGAAACCAACTTATTCTAATCATCCATAAAGTTTGTGAATGCATAGGGATAATTAAGTGACCAAATGGAAGAGCAGGCAAGCTCTTGGCGGGCTAAGGAATGTTTTTGGCTTTACATTAGTTCCAATGCCTGAGGAAAAATAGAATAAAAATAAGTAGTGAAATCAGAATTAAAGCACACACACACACACACACACACACACACACACACACATTCAATTATATTAATATGAGATAAGATTCTTGTACCTTTTTTGCTTGCCACTAATTGAAAGCTTATGTCCAAAATATTTTTTGCTCACTGTAGAGGTAAATAGATTGGTGTGATATCCTTGTTATGATTGTAGAGTAGGTCCCTTTTAACTAATTTTAAACTTTATTGTAATTTCTGTATTTTTATTCGATATGTTAGCCGCCCTGAGTCCGTAAGGAGAAGGGCGGGATACAAATGTAATAAAATAAATAAATAAATAAATATATATGCAAAAGTAACTGCCAATCATTGATCAATAATCCTAACCCATTTGGCAGAGGAAAAGTGTAAGACTGTGGAAATAAGTGGACATAATTTGATTCACAAAACTCACAAAAGCATCTTGGCAGGCAACACCCCTCCCCCAAGAGTTTGAGTTGGTAACTAAAATGAATTATAGCAATTTTTTGTTTTGATTTCCATTTTAAGTAATTGTTTTAATAGTATGCATAGTTCTCATTTAGGTTTTGCATTTGTTGTTGATTTTTATATGCTGCTCACAATGAGTAAGTTTCTATGCAACATTTGCACATACAGGTGTCATGCTGTGATTAATACTGGCCCTTGCTAACTCATTTAACATGCATTTAGATAAATGAAGTAATTTACATCATGGATGAGAAAGACTGCATCTACATTAGTATTCACAGGTTGTACAGCTACTGTCCTACTGTCCTGTTCATCAAGTTGGAAATATACTCTTTTATACACTGATGGGAAAATGTCACTAGGTACAAATAGTTAAAGAAAGGAGTGAGGTAGATCCTTTTTAGTATAGAAGTGCATAGCTCTAGCAATATTTGATTCTGTACTGTAGATTCTGTCTAAAGCACACGTCTCAAACATTGTGGGACCACAATCCTCTGAAACCAATACATATTCAGAAGTAACAACTATGCTACCGTAAAGAAGCATTAGGCAAGAAATAACTATATTATTGCTTTTACACTCTGTGGCAACAAAACTACTCACTGGAGTTTCCATAGGCACAATTAGTAAGAAGACCTAAAGTGAAGGAGAATGGTCTCATTTTGCCCATCCAAGCATGATGGGTTTTCAATTCAAAAGTCGGCAAACCCTAATTATAAAGGAAATAAATGTTGAAATTAATTTGCCTTTTACATTATCATCCAAAACTTTAAAACTGATAAGGATAAATTTACAAGAAGTGGAAAGGCATTATATACATTTACTTTCCTGCAATTTATTTGCTGCTGTACTAATTTCTATTAGCCTTTTTGACCAGCCATAACACTATATTTCTGCAATAATGAACACAGATAAGTCATATATTTCCTTGTTACCATCTTTTTACTGTGGTATTGTGTTTGAAAGCTTCTTTTGTGAAAACTGCTTCAGATTTCTGTCAAACACAAAGTAGGATAGATGCTTATGGATTGATTTATCTTGTTAAATCTTGCAGAAACAACCAAAAGGTCTACCTATACCACTGGAATAAACTTTTAATTTAAACTAGGCTTCCTAGTTTTTCACACATAGAATTCCCTTTTTCCACATGTACTTGTGAAATGGAATTGCATTATATTAACCAACAATTCCAGCTAAAACTCAATTTTTTCTCTGAAAGGTTTAAAGGACAGATTTTAGAAAGATGCCTGGGAACAAAAGAAGGAAGTAACAAGTATTGCAGCTGAACATTTATATTTTATTTCAGTTAGAAACTGGGCAATGTCAAGAAAATTCCATGGATTTCAGGTTGAAAAGTATTATCCCCAACACCACACATACACACAGCGCTTTTATGAGAAAGACATCAGCAGCACATAAAGCACAATAGTACCATATTCCCTTCACCATTTTCCTCAGCAACTTGAAGAACGAGAAATAATAGCTGTCATTAAATTCACTGATTATCATTCTATGATAGAAGCAATGGATGTTTAGCTACCCATTATGCTAAAAAAAATCCTTTAGCCTGTTTTTAATTTTCTACAATTCTAAAATTCTGTAATATCAATGACTGTCTGCCCAGTGGATGGAGAATACTTCAAGCACATATATCACGAAATTATTAGGGAGCGAGAGAAATGAAAGCACTCTAAAACAGGGGTCCTCAACCTTGGCAACTTTAAGACTTGTGGACTTCAGGTCCCTGAATTCCTCAGCCAATTCAGGGAGTTGAAGTCCACAAGTCTTAAAGTTGCCAAGGTTGAGGACCCCTGCTCTAAAAGAGTAGATGAGCCGTTACAAAATCTCGCGACAGTAGCGTGTTGCCATTTCGGAAAAATGCCGTCGCGGGATTTTGGAGATCTCACGAGAAGTAGGCGAGCAGAGCGGCCGCCATCTTGTCGACGCGCGGGCGCTTTCGCTCTTGCAAACGAGCCGCGTTTTATTTTAGTTTCTAGGCTTCCCATAGCGGCGTCCTCGGAGAACGTTGAGCCGGCGCCGAAAAACGCACCCTCCGCAAATGGCCGCTCCTGGGTAGATTGGTAAGTAATCTGCTTGCCAGTCTGTAATACGAAAAGGAGGGAAAGTTTTTTAGAAAAATTAATTTCTGGAGTCGGGGGGGAGCTGGTCAAATGCCGAGGGCAAGAGATGTTGCTGGGGGACCACGGAACAGCTTTGCTGCCCTGCCACCGATCCTGGTGCTTTTTTCCATCGCAAACTCGCCCATCCTCTTTCTGGAATCGTATCTTCCTGTTCCAGTTTCCCGGCTTTTGATGCGTGGCATCAGGACGTTGTATCGTTTCCTTCTATTGTTAGGATGGGGAAATGCTTCAGCTACTGAACTTTTGGTTAAAGCTCAGAGGAGTCTTGCAAGATGACACCGTTTATCAGCTGGGAGTTTTCCTTTGCCTTTTACTTTGTGGGACTGACTGTTCAATAATTTCGATAGTGGTGGGATCTGGAGATTTCCTTGATCCGAGCCCTCCTTCCTGCCGACGTGTAAGTAGTGCTTGAGACTTCAAAAGCATGCGGGATACGTCGAAAACGTATCTTGCCAGATGTAGTGACAAAAGCAACTGGGGAATGATCATATCAACTATTTAATTTTAACTAAGGTTACAATAATAGTAGCGTAAATGAAATTCACCTTCAGTTTGGAGAGCCGTCTGTGGCATAGCCATCAGAGACTAGGTGTAGGTAGCCCTTACTGTTTCCTTTATTTATTATCAGAGATCTTAGGTCACTTTGGAAGTTGTGTATTCATAATAATCTGTTGATGTCTAATTGCAGAAGGCAGCAGTCTGAGTGTATATATTCAGTTTATTTTGATCAAACATGTTACAATCCTCTTTATTTTGAAGTCTGACTTCTCAAACATTTTGATCAAAGATTGTTGCAAACGAGTGTTCATGACATCTGTCTAATGTTTCTAATATATCCTAGTACAAAGTTTTTATCATATGGCCAATTGGGTTGTAATTTACTCTGTATATATTGGACTTAATAACTGCTTCTTTCTTCTGCTATAGCTAGCTTCAATAATATATGGAAACAATGCTGTCTTGACAGTTTATTTCTATTGACTTTTTTTTAAAAAAATGTTAACCTGAAGGATCTGTGTTTATTGAATTGTTATCTAGAGGAATAAATATCCAATAGAGAGCTGAATGAAATAATGTATATACATCTTTATAAACATTTGTGCTTAGTTGCCCTCTTTTTCTTTTGTTTTCATTGTTAGATTTCTCCTGGTAGAATGACAGGAAAAAGCCAGACTTTAAGTTTCCAACTCCCAGCTGTTGTACAGCCCACTTCAGTGGATAGCCACGTATATCCATTTGGGAACAATCTTAGTTCTGACAGTGATGTTTTGGAGGATGAAGTTGAAATATATGAACTGCGACCTCGGGGAAAAGAGAAAACTCGGAGAAGCACTTCGCGAGAAAGAATGGATGATATTGTATTTATAACTAAAGATATACAAGAAGGAGATACACTAAATGCATTAGCTCTTCAATATAGTTGTTCAGTAAGTTTATCTTTTTCCAGTTGCATATAATTGTATCATGTTAGGGACATATAAATGTAGAATGTTTTTTAAATAAAATTATGCAATAAAAACAATTTGAAGGGTTACTTATTAGATTGTGGACTGTACAAATATACAGTATATGTTTGTCAAGTAGAATAATAGTTTTTCAAAATTAGTTTGAAACTTTGGTAATTGTTAAAAAATCAATATTTTTCTTTTCTAACAATATTTTATGAAAGTGATATAAAAAATTCCAGAAGTGAGGGGATTAGTATAGGATTAGAAATCTTTATTTTAATTCATACAAAGTTAACTTTCTTCCAGTTGGTGTTTATATTTTATTTGTTGGACTATAATGGGGCTGTGTCAGTGATCTGGTGATACCACCTGAGGAAATAAGCAGAATTAAGGTGGCCGGAGGGGGAGAGGTTGCTCAAAATAATTTTATTAAATTTACCAAAAGTACCTAGTTAGCATTTTGGAGAGAGGAAAATTTAAGACTATCAAAAATTGCTAAGAATCTTTTTTTAACGTACAAGTAAAACTATAGAGTTCTTTAATTAGCTCTTTAGGATACATAAGATACATTTTTTAAAAAAAAAAGAATAGGAAATATTGTACAACAGTATAACTACTTCAAATCAGATGGGAACTGGGTAATAAAATGGGGCTGTATGCTCTTGAAAGAGTGTTGAATGGAGCTAGAATAATTTTTAGTCCTATACATAGTTTTAGACTCAAAGGAAAATAAATTGCTTTGGAATGCATGCAGGTGTCAGAGGTAGTGCCTATTTCATGTCTTTAATTTCAGTGCATATTTTCCTGAATCGTGCAATAGCTGTGAAAGACAACCATGAATTTCCAAGAAATGACATGACTGCATTAAAGAATTGCAAGAAAGAGTTTTGTTCCAGTCCTCATATTCTAAAGTATTCCAAATTAATTGATTTTAAACTATGAAAAAATGGAGTGCAAGATATTTAGGATCAAATAATTTTACTGCAGGCTATAGGTAAAATGTTTATTTGTGCAAAAGGTTAAGGCCACATTCAAATAGCTTTCTTATATTCAGTGGTTATTTCTGTTTGATAGTATTTACTTTACTAAATGCATTTAGACTGGATGCCTATGGAATGCTATAACTGTGTAGCACTTTAAAACAATGACTTGGATTTTCATTGTTTCAAACCATAGTTTACATAACTATGATTAAATTATAATTGTTTTTTCAATCATTCAATGATTTTTTTATTCAGTCATTAATTGTTAAGCAAGCTATGGCCTAGCCTTTAAACTTGATTCATGGTTGGTTTCGTACTACATGCTGAGCCAAAATCAAGTGAACAACATTATACATGTTAGGGACCAGTCCTGAACAAACAGCCATGTCCTGATTATTTTAGAAGATCCATCTCCCACAGTTGTGAAGTGGCTTGAATTGGTAGTTCATCCCTTCTGTCCTTTCTGCATTTTTTTAAAGAAAAAAAAAGTAGCTTCAAAATAGCTAAGGAAAAAGAGTACAGGTACTTGTTGTTTTTGGTAACCTCAAGTCTTCAACTTGAGCTCTTATTCATATAGTACAATAGCTAATTTTCAAATAGTGAAATATCTTTGCAACTGGCACTAGGGCTGTGACATAACATCTTTCATCAGATAAGAGGTTATTCTACCTTCATTTGCTTGATTCATTTGGATTGTCTTTATTCAGTGATTTAAGCCAAAATCAGTGAACCAGCACTTTTGGTCTCTCTCCAAGAGAATTCATTCTACAGGAATCCCAAACATTTGTTTTGTAGAATGAGAGCTAGCCATGTGAACACTAATATGCAGTTTGATTATTTGACATAATTTAGTTTGATATTGAAAACAAGACTTTGTATCAATATTGACAGTGCAGGTGCTTTTTTCAAATGATTGAAAATAACAGGAGTGATTCAGTTAAACTTTCTAAATTAAGCTAATTCATTTTATTATAACATTTCAGGTAGCAGATATCAAACGGGTGAACAATCTTATCACAGATCAGGACTTCTTTGCATTAAGAACTATTAAAATTCCAGTTAAAAAGTTCAGCCTTCTGACGGAGACACACTGTTTTCCAAAAAATAGACAGAATTCAAGATCTGCCGCCTCTTCATATTCCGCAGAATTCTCAGATTCATCACTAGCACCTGAGTTATTCTCATCTACTGAAACAGCTGGTAACTTTTTGAAAGAAGTGGACCGTGATATAGAGCAAATAGTGAAGTGTAATGCTACCAAAAGAGAAAATCTTAATGAAGTTGTTTCTGCTTTATCAACCCAACAATTGAACTTTGAACCAGATGGTAAACCCATCAGACAGAAAGATCCTTATTATGGTGCAGACTGGGGAATTGGATGGTGGACAGCAGTGGTAATAATGGTGGTAGTAGGCATTATAACACCTGTTTTTTATCTTTTATATTATGAAGTTTTGGTCAAAGTGGATGTCAGTCATCATTCTACAGTGGAATATTCATTAGTTGCACCATCTCAGTCAAAGCCATTAGAAAATGAGATAAAGCAGCCTATTTCATGAGGATTAAGTTTTGGTTTTACATCCTAAATGTCAGCTATCTTGCTGTGTATTCTGCAAAGAAGTATGAACATGTTCTGAGTGGAACTGTAAAGTGGCTATCTCTGATGGTAATATACTGTGTTTGTGAAAAGTTGTCAATATATTGAAAAATTAAAAGTTTATCTGGCTCTGCCAAAATATATGGATTTAAGCTGCAACTCTGCCATTGAAGTTAATAGGACTGAAACCAATCTAAGTGAAGTACCTTTACAGTAAACCTTCATATTTACTTTAAAAAATGTTTAATCTGGGTATAATGGTATGAAGATTCTAGGCATGTCAAGCAATAATACCTTCTATCACAGTATAGTGGAATTAGGAATAGTTTGGTTTATTAGATTTACTGAACAAGCACACTGCTTGGTATTGGTGAACAGGATAATCAGTTTGAATTATTTGAAGAACAGTATATAATAAAAAGGAACTAAAGATTCATATGATTCCTTTGTTCTAACTGCAATGAGTTTCAGAGAGTGGAAACTTAAACAGAAAAAAAGTGAAAGAATTCCACATTCTTTCAACTTCTTTGTTCCCAAAGTGCTCGTTGCATTGTATCATATTGCATATCTTCAAATGCAGAAGGGCTGTATACTATACACAAGCAGTTTGCACAAAGTCCCTCTTATAAATGATTTAGAATTAAAGTTAAAAAGTACTAGCTCCTTGCAGGAAACCAGGAATGGTAATGTGATGTCAGATTTCTTCCAAGATCATAATAATGACATTGTGGAGGTTAAACAATCCGATGCCCCTAATGTATCACATGTACAGTTGAGCTGAATTGCTGAGCCATTAAGTGCTTGGGCTTTCATTTGGTATATTATTTTAAACTAACTGTTGAGGTATTTAAAATAAACCTTTTGGCTTGGCCTGCTAGTTAGTTTTTTTAAGTGGAAGACCATGGTTCAACAGCTATGGTTTAGTGCACTATATAAAGCTAATTCTGTACATGGGTAAGACGTACAGGATGGCAGCCACACAAAATCTATAAAAATACATTAATCTCTTCCATTAGAGAAATGCAGTATTAGTGGCTTATTTCCTTCTTGAATCTTCTAATTTGGAACTTTTATATTGTTTTTGCACTCATTCAGAGCCTTCCTGCATTACCTGCCTGATCAATATTATTTGGAAAGCAAGCCTATTGTTCCTTAGAGCATTATTGGAAGTGTACTACAATGTATACTTAAGAGAGGAAAAAGGTCATTCTTTTCATTTTAGCATATGACTAGTTGCAAGCAAAGAAATGCAACTGAAATATTTCTGAAAATTTTAAGACATGTTCTACAATTGGCACATGAATGCATTAGAAGGCCAAGTATGACTGACTGATAGAACTATAAAACAAGGAAAATAATAGGCCATACAAGACTATTTCAAAGATCTCTATGCGATAAAAATTACAGGATAAGAGATAGTAATATTTTTCAACCATCTACAGTTTTTGAAGTACCAAAAGTTGTGTACCTCAAGTATGCAATATATTTTTCTTTTCTTATAACTTGAATTAAGGCGTTTGAAAAGAAAATATTAAAGGCATCAAGGAAGATATGGTATAAGTATAGGTTAAATGGTCCTGGGTTTTATCATAGCTCAGGAGTTGTGCCTTATTTCTACAACTGAAAAATATTAATCTATAGTGTTTCATGAATAAGTAGTACACTTATGGAATGGAAGGTTCCTTCATAAAAATTATGTGAACAGGTGCATTTTGAAACTAAGGTTAAGAATGTGTAAGCTACAATTCCTTATACAGTGTTGCTGTATGTTTTTATCTTTTCTAAAGTACATTTTCATCATGTGAAGGACTGGAAAGATTATGAAAAGATAACTTGAAGTTAAAGGGAAAAACTTGGAGTACTAAGTTAAGAAATTCCATTAAAACAAAGCTATTAAGTGTCAGAATATCAGATTTGTAAGTACATTACATAACAAGCATATGAAATAGTTTTAATTGCCATTTGGAAAATAAATTTTCACAAAATGAGATTTATGTAAGTTTCAGAATTTATAAAAAGGCCTTTGGCCAGAGTATTATTTCAAAAAGAACAACGTAAATAAATACATATATATTTCTAATTCTGTTTAGAGTGATTAATCAACCATATGAATTGTAGAATATGTGTATTTAGTAATGAATTTGTGTGTCATACCTTATTCCATAAAGTCTAAAGAAAGCTTGTGCATTGTAAACTAAATTCTTACATAAAGAGTTTAAATAATTAACTCATCTAAAAAAAAGAAATGCACTAAAATCAAGTACAGTTCAGAGAGAAATATATACATAGAAATACCCTATTTTATCACACTGAATTATGCAAAGGGGGATTGAGGTTTATTCTAAATACCTAGAATTATTAAAAGGGTTACAAAATATTGTGATTCCTTAGAACATATAACCCATCATATATATTCTTCAAGAATATTTTTCTACTTGTAAAAATGCATCCTAGGATTTATGTAAGGTGTGCTGATATTTAAATTTGTCATGTCTGTTATGCAGTTGTATTGGGGGAGGAGAAATTTCAATCAATCTTAATTTTTTGGCAAACTCTCAAATTTTCTAGCTGAAAGATGAAATTCACAATGGCTTTCCCTTTCCCACTGTAATTCCCCCCATAAAATATGACAGTGGCATAGCTATTTTAAAAACCCCTATGTTTCAATGTGGAAGGCTTGTGCCAAATTTAATTACTATACATAGATTGGGCAAACCATGTGAGCCTCACTCAAAATTACCTGACCATATACCAGGGGTCCTCAACCTTGGCAACTTTAAGACTTGTGGACTTCAACTCCCAGAATTCTGGGAGTTGAAGTCCACAAGTCTTAAAGTTGCCAAAGTTGGGGACCCCTGCCATATACTATCGGGCAACCAGTGGCTCGAGCTAATTTCAACTTCTTATGGAAGAGATCACTTTATGTTTCCTTTTCCTACTCTGATATTTAAATAGAATAAGTCAGGAAAGCACATTAACATTAATTGCACTTCCCCCATAGACTACCTTTACTATGCCTCAGCAGTGAGGCCTGGCTGTGTTCTTGCAATCACAATTTAATGCAAGTAGTTTCATAGCAGGATTACCTGCTGCCCTATCCCCTCTTCTCCAGCATCCCCTACTGGCAAGAAAACCAAACCCCAGTTGTTTTTCTGAATTTGTGGCTTGGGGATTCAAGTGTTAATTTTTATGATTTATTTGTTTAGCTGTATTTTGTTATTATACTGAGTGCTACGCATACAAAATTATTCTCCAGATGCTGCCAAGTAGAGATCATCCAGATTATTGAAGGAAACTGACAGTCTTGTCAGGAAAATTAAAAATGGTACATTAAACAAAAGCTTCCACACAAAATGTGATCAGAAGAGGTGCTTTGAAATACAAAGTAGAAAAGCCTAAGCCAGGGATTTCTCTGAACTATAGTATGTCTAAATTTTTCTTTCAATTCAATTTCTGTTTTTGGTCAAACAAGGAGCCACTTTCCTACTCCATAATATGGTGACGTGCATTACATGTGCATGAATTCTTCATTACACTGATAGACTAAGAATGTCAGTATAATATCCAAAATAATTCACTATATAATGTACTGGTGGGGATAAAAGTGAATGTCTCATTTATAGTAAACAAAAAGGAAATGTGTGCCTTGGGCTCACAATCTCTAGTTTTTAGCTTGGTGCATGAACCTGAGATTATTATCTCTGCCTTTTGAAAGATAAATAACTGCTGACTAACATAGTCCATAGATATCCCATAGAAGGCATGACAACCTCACATGTACCATTAGGCCTTTGAGCAAATCACATATAATTTCTGTGATATGGTTGACATAAATTACATATTTTATGTAATTTGCATGATAAAAATCATGATGTACATGGCATTAATTCAAGAGGAGGTTGTAGATCGGTCAGAAATTATCCAACACACTAAATCTAGGGATGATTTCTTGAGAAGGAGACAGATTATTACCTCCTTAAAGGCTTATAAAACCAGTGGTTTAGTTGATGAATTCATTGCTGCTTGTACTCAACCATATTCCTAGTGAGGCTTTAATCAACAAGGAGGGGCATTGGTTTTATAAACTGATAGCATATTCAGTTTCCTCAAGTGAGGAAGGGGGCTCAAACTAAGTGATACAATACAGTCATACAATACAATACAATCTCCATAGAACATGTGTAATTGGAATCTGATCTGAGCAATTTCAGCTGTCAGATGTCTAGAACAGTGTTTCTCAACCTTGACAATTTTAAGGCATGTGGACTTCAACTCCCAGAATTTCACAGCCAGCAATGCTTACTGTGGAATTCTGGGAGTTGAAGTCCACATGCCTTAAAATTGTCAAGGTTGAGAAACACTGGTCTAGAATAATCCTCATAGCAACCCTAGTACCTGTTCTCTGGCTTGTCATTTTAAAGAGTACCACTAGCTGGCATTCTGTGGATACAATAACAGTGGAAAAATAAAGTTTTGACACTTTTACTACCTTGATGTAGTCCTTAATATGGACTCCAATATATGTTCATTCAGACTCATCTTCATTTTCAACCCTATTTTCTAAAAACTACTGAATCCACTAAGATCCACAGACAGAAAGATGGTGTATGGAGCCAATCCCACCTGAAGTCTTTGTCACCCTCTCATCCAAAGGGGTGAGTAAGGCTTCAATCAAGCTTTGAAGCAAAGCCTTGAGAAATTCTGCAAACTCCCTCTGAAAACCAGTTGGTGCTGGGGCAGTTCAGACAAATAGGGCCTTCCAGTCAGTGTTGCAGTGAGGAAAAATCTAGCCATAGGGACTGTGGGATGCCTCAGAGCCTCTCTCCCCACCTCTATTTAGCATCTATATGAAGCCATTGGTGAGGTCATCCACCAGCACAGGGTTAAATACAATCAATATGCTGATGATACAACTGTGTCTTTATAGCCAAATTATATTGTCAAAGGTCTTTCCCACTAACTGGACTCAGTCCTAACAAGACAGAGAAACATTAGGTTGTAGAGTTTCCACAGTCTAGAGTTTTCCCATCTTTGAATCTGGATGGGGATGCAGTTCTTCTGACAATTTAGTACAATTTAGGGGTCTTTGTGGACTCACAGTTCTTGCTTGAAGAGCAGGGGGCAGTTATAAGTTAGTAGCCCTTTTATACAAATGCATCATGTGCACCAACTGCATCCATTCACAGAATGCAAGGTTGCGCTCAGGATCACTCACGCCTTAGTCCCTATTTGTTCTGGTGCAACATACACTATTGTACTAGATTTAGGGTTGTCCTAAACAATGTTCAAAAACTACTCCAGAGTGGTCCCAAATGTAGTTTGGATCAGCTTCTGAATGCTGTAATACCTGCAATGTTGGGTGCACCTTTGAATGCTCCCATAACACTATTGCATTGGCTCCCAGTTGGTTTTGGGTGCAATTTAAGGTCCTGATTGTTACCTATAAGGCCCCACATAGCCAGGTTATATGAGATTGTCTGACCTCAGTTGTGTTCTGTCCACCTGACCTACCAGATCTGACAGGGTGGCATGTACCAAATCTCTTCTATGAAACAAATGCCATCTAGTGGGATTTAGGCAGCATGTATTTTCCGTTCACAACGCCTGCCCTATGGAACACGATCTCTCTCCACTGAGATCCAGATGGCCCTACTATACTGTTTCATTCCAAAAAGCCTTGAAGACTTGTTTTTTTTTTCTCCTAGCAGTGGGGCCACACTGAAATGTATGGAATGTTGATTAAGAAATAGTTTTTATAGTCCTCATTTACACTGTAATGTTTCTATGATTTCCCATGTTTTTATGCATTTTGCTTTGTGACTACCTAAATTCACAAGGTTCAGATAGGCAGCTGTCTGAATTATACTGAAAATAAATAAGTCAGACAATAATAGTCCCTGCCCATTTACGGTAAATTCCTTTACTCTGGCTTGCAATGGTTCTTTGCCTTCAGCTTTATTATGAAGATTTAATAAAACTCCCCTCTTATAACATTAAATTTCCCTGTCGTGATGAACTGGTAGAGACAACTGATAATGTCCTTTTGCATTGCCAATTTTATTGACATACTTTTGTACAAGTGTATGTGCCTTTGAGTCAGGGTGAACTCCTGGCAACTTTCCTGCAGTTTCAGAAGTGGTTTGCCAGAAATTGACTGGCCCAAGATCATCCAGGTGGCTTTGTACCTAAGGTGGGTCTAGAACTCACGTTCTGGTTTCTAGCCTGGTATTTTAACTAACCAGACTGGCTCTTTCAGTTATTCTTCTACTGTTTAGTTTAGTAGAATGCTAGATCACTCAAGCCACTTTTATGTGCCTTTTTTTTTATACCTTGATAGTAATTCCTTTTTAACACAGTTGTGCAACAGCATCTAAGATCTATAGGACAGTAATAAACATTAATTTCTCTGTCCTTGTTTTAAGGGGAGATATTGAATTTAATCAGAGATGAGCAATGGAGGGCTCTTTCAAATCCAAATAGTATTGCATTTATTGCAGTTTCCTGAGCTCAAAGGATGCAATGCTTAATTCAGAGACAGGGATTGTGTTCTTTATATCACACCAAACAGCATGAGACAGAGGATGTGAAAGGAAACACATTAATCACGATTGCTTTTGTATAATAACCGGGCAAGCGGACTTCATGCGGATCCCATCTAAAAATCCGACATCCAGACAATCCATGAGTTCAAGCACCCGTTTTTTACCCAGATCCCTTCCTAAATACTGCACTTAGGGAGCACTAGTGAGAGAGACTTGCATTTTCTTTAGCACAACCCAGAGCGTTTTTGCTGTATCGTCTGTCGTGTAGCCGCATCTTCAATCTCGCAGGCGATCCCCACGTGTAACCGCATCCCCTTCCAAGGCAAACCCGCCTTCCCCTCAGCCCCCTTCCTTCCGTCTGACGCGTTACTGCAGTGGGAAAGAACCGGGTGGGGACCACCCGATAAGCCGAGTAAGGGTTACGCTGAGGAGCTGGTGATTCAGTCCCCGCCTCTAGCTCCTCCTCCTGGATCCGCCCTCCTTCGCGTCTAAGCTACGCGTCCGGGCCGTTCGCACGCGCGATCCTGCCCCAAACATCGCAGGCAGGAGACGGGTCGTCTGGCCGCAGCGCTTCGTTTGGCGGCCGGCTGTGATGTCGGCGCTGGAATGGTTCGCGCATAAATCTCTGGGTGGAGGAATCTACTGGATCCAAGAGCGCTTCTACGAGTCGGGCAATCGGGCCAATATCTGGCTGGTGCGCGGCTCCCAGCGGGACGTGGTAATCGACACCGGGCTGGGACTGCGCAGCCTCCCCGACTATCTTCACTTGGCTGGGCTTTTGGATCCCGATCCAGCCCAGGGCGACCAGGAGGGAGCCGGTCTCGGCGAAGCAGAGAAGGAGCCCGCGAGCGGTGGGCGGCGGCAGCGGCCGTTGCTAGCCATTGCCACCCATGTGCACTTCGACCACTCGGGCGGACTGCACCAGTTCCAGGAGGTGGCCGTGCACAGCGCCGAGGCCGGAGCCCTGCGCCGCGGCGATAACTACGAGACCGTCACTTGGCTCTCGGACAGCGAGGTGGTGAGGCAGCCCAGCCCGGGCTGGAGGGCCAGGCAGTTTCGAGTGCGACCCGTCCAGCCGACGCACGTCTTGCAGGAGGGTAAGAGCGGGGAGGGGAGAGGATAATGGGCTAGCAAGGGAGACCCGCATCTCCTTCTGTAGGCACCTTTCGGGAGTAAGGCAGGCAACTCCACGCCCCAACTGCACCGAGCTGTTGTGACCAGATGTATAGTCTTGAATTGATGAACGCTTTTTTTTATCTGCTGCTTTCTGGTCCAAGTCACTAAAGGACGCCTATGTAATGATTTCAGAAATTAATTATTTTTTTAAACACTGAGTGATTTTTTTCCATTCTATATGATAAATTTGGAAGGATGGTGGTTTTTTCCCCCTCCTTTTTCTTTCCCCCTTTTTTATTACTTCAGGAAACATCCTGTGAGAAAGAGTCTCTGGCCACCTGCAGAATTTGGTTTCTTTAATATCTGATAGGTCATAGGTAAATTGGACTGGCTTACACCAGGAAGGGTTGAGTATCATCGGTATTATTTCTGTATTCCACATGCCTACTGGGTTCCTGCTGAAGTGGATCATTTGTATAGAAAGCAGGGCTGTTGGAGTCCAGCAACTTTTCTCTTACTGAAAATAAATACTGGGTATTAGCATTTGCCTACCAAAAACGCAAGAGCATTGTCTGGAGCCTTGTGACATAAAAACAGAAAGTTCTCCGGGGTTTTGTGCATTGTATGTAGTAAATATACTTAATTCATAAAGGTTCAGTGATGGAGGCAGATGGATTTTGAACCTTAATGTTCTTTGGTTTAGAATGCAGAATAAAGGCATGGGAAAGGTGCATTATGGCATTTCAGTAGCAGAGTGTAAAAGGAAAAGAATTTCTGGTAATACAGTGAAATAATAAAATTAGTCTGTGTTTATAGCTTCAGTTCTTTGGGTATGGCAAAGAGTGGAGGAATTCTCCCAGTATTTGAAATCACCAGGAAATGGATATATAAGGAAAAGAGAAGGAAAACATGGGGAGTGGGAGTGGAATAGGAATGGAAAACACAGCATTATGTGATCCCTGTACTTTTATAAAATGTTTTAAAAGGAGATTATAAAATGGGAAGGGACCATAGAAGCAGAGTAGTGTTGTTGGTTTCTTATAGAGAAAAATGGGAGCTAAATGGATCTTTCATCTATGATGTTGAAATTATCTTTTTGGTGTTAAAAATGTATCTCTGAAAGGAGAGGTGGGGAGCATCTTTGTAAAATCCATGCAGAGGCTATTGAAATTGTGTGTCTGCCTCTTAAAGGTCATACAAACATGAATGTGCACTGTCAGAGTCTGAAAGAAACCGTAGGGTGGGGACATCTTGGCATCTGCTAAAGAATGGGTGGCATACAAAGTACATGATAGAGCATTTCACTAAGATGCTTAATATTTTGTGATTCTGTAGGGCATCCCCATTGTTTGGCGAGAAAAGAATAAATAAGCATATTAGCCAGATAAATGTATCCAGGAATACAATTTTGCCAGGTAGTAACATTGCTACGAACAATGTGTTTTGAACATTTATCCATCAAATATTTGTGCTGTACACTGAAATTGTTTGTGTGTAACATTTTGAGAATAAATAATAGATCTTAGTTTTATGAGATTGTTTTTCAGCATCTTTTTCACCCTGCAATTCTATCAACATTGTGGACCAGCAGGTTATATTTAAGAAAATACATACCAAAATCCTTTTAAATATCATCCACAGATTATAACCTAGAAGTAACATTTTATGCATGCTTCCTTCAATTAAGTGTTTCACATATTACAACCCAAGACTAATAGTTCAATCCCTATGTTTAATATCTAATTTATAAAATAGGCATGAAAAACCTTGGAGACATAATCCAAATTAGACTGATCATCTGATTTTTTTCACTTGCCCCATTACACCTATTATTTTAGACTCTTCATTTTTAATATGTCCCTAGCTACATTTCTATTATATGTGGTCAGGTTAACTTTTCAGGGATTATAAAAAGTACTGGAATTTGGGAGCAGAGGTTTATGGCTTTTTGATATTTTCTTATTTGTAACATTATATTTAATGTAAAATTGCAGAAAACTGCATTATATCTTTGATCTACTTTTCTCATTTTTATCTTGACACTAACAGTTGTTCTAAAAGGTTTCTATCTTGAGTCTTTTCCAGCACTACTAGGTGATATTGTGGCTTGAAAACAGATATCTCTACATGAGCACAAGTGCTCTGCCATGAAGCTGCAACCATTTACTTGTAATTGACTTAGAAACATCTTTATTTTGCCTAAATTACTACTAACAGTCCATTTGTAACCATGGGCATCTGTTTTTAATTATGAATGTATGTTGTAGCATGACACCAACCCCTCTCCCTTTATATATTTGTATCACAAGCTCAAATCCAAGTACAGGTAATCCTTGATTTACAACCACAATTGAGCCTAAAATTTCTGTTGTTAAGTGAGACATTTATTAAGTGAATTTTGCCCCATTTTATGATTTTTCTTGCCTCAATTGTTAAGTGAATCGCTGCAGTTGATAAGTTAGCAACCCGGTTGTTAAGTGAATCTGGCTTCCCCATTGACTATGCTTATCAGAAGTTTGTAAAAGTAATGACATGATCTTGGGACACAGCAACGGTCATAAATATGAACCAGTTGCCAAGCATCTGAATTTTGATCATATGATCATGTGGATGTTGGAAAGGTGGTAGATGTGAAAAACAGATCACAAGTCACTTTTTTCAATGCCACTGTAACTTTGAACGATCACTAAACAAACTGTTGTAAGTTGAGGACTATCTGTATTTGCATGAGTTTGAGTCAAGGCCTCATAGAGTACATTCCTTCATCCCCCCTCCCCCCGATGCTCTTTTCCTCCTACAAATTTCTGTGCTTTTAGTGTTTGAGTTACGTTAATATATCCATGATTGATACATATTTTAATAAGTGCAGGTAAATCTTACACAGATGTGATAATTAAAAAGTATAAGTAAATGCAAGTATAACCTTCAGTGTCTCTAGGAGTGTGGGCTATTCTAAAATAAACTATTGCATCTTCATTTTTTAGTTAGACTTTCTTTTCAGGTATAATCACTGAATGTTTGAGGGCCATTAGAGCAGGGCTTTTCAACCTTTTCACCCATTGTACCACTTTTAGGATATGGCAATGTCCGAGTACCACCAGTCGCCTAGCAAGGTGTCAAAAACTTGATGGACCCCCCCAAAGGAAAAAAAAGTGATAAAGTACAGGTAATCCTTGACTTACAACAGTTTGCTTAGTGACCATTTGAAGTTACAATGGCACTGAAAAAAGTCCCCCCCCCAAAGCACAGCCAAGCAAGACGCCTGCCTGTCCGCCCGGCGGTGCTCTCATTCCCCTCCCCCGCTACCACTTTTCTAGGATGGTCGCGTACTACCTGCCAGGTACCAATGTACCACAGGTGGTACCCGTACCACTGGTTGAAAAGCCATGCATTAGAGAATCCTAGAGATAGTGAAGGTAGCACTTGAGGACTTCTTAGATTCTATTACTATTTTAATGTTTTCATGTATAAATAAACATCTGCATAGAGCATCAGTACAGTACGTATGGACAGATCCATGCATCTGAACATTACAATGCATTATTAAAATTATTTTAGGGCACACACTAATTTTAAACCGTTTTGCACCATATTTGAGGAAAGAGCAGTAGTTCAATGGTAGGGTACATACTTTGTTTCCATTTTGTACACAATTTTAGCTTTTACATATGTAAGCAAATACCTTGGGAAGAGTTCAATTATAATATCTGTGAAATGTAAGTACATCCAAATTAGTATTAATGGATCTGTTGATCATTCTTGTTAATTAAACATTAAAATGGATAATGGATTATGGTCAGGACTATAATACAGCAAGCTTCTGGTTACTGCTATGTAAAATGAAGTAATTTTTCCATCTTGATTTTTTATGGAGTCCATTAAAATTGAAAATAGAAAAAATATCTGTTATGCTTTAATTAGTTGAAATTATATATCGTATCTTTTCTGGGAAGATGGTGTTCTCAAAGATAGTGAGTCAGTCAATAAAAGCATTGCAAGAAAAGTTCAGATAGAAAATCATTTCATTAAGATTAGAGGGACATGTGCATTCACAATCTGTCTGCTTACATTTCCAGGTGATGCACACTTATTTATTCATATATTTATTTATAACGTTTATATAGCTGCTCATTTTATATCGAACCTCGAGTGGCTTCTAAGCAGCAATTAAAACAATATCAGTAATAAAAGAACATAATACCATGCTAAACCATAATATTAAAAAAATGTTGTTGCTGCTGGTACTGTAAAGGTAGATCCCTTCATTTGTTTGATCATTTTATTTCCTGAGCCACTGTGCAATTATGAGCATTAATTCTTTGGTGTAGAATGAATAGTACTTTTGTTCTTAACTTGTTTTTGTTTGTTTGGGTGCTTCATAGAACAGCTTACACAAGAAGAAATGCATATTAACCTGTTTTGGATGTGGATTTCCAGATTTCTAAATTATGACAAATGAACTTGAGAAGGATGGTCACCACTCCTTGCTCTTCCTCTCTTGCACAGACTGTAGCCCTTACGTTAAGGTTTAGTTGAAACCAGAGTTCATTCTGAGTCTAAAATGGAAACTGATTTAATGCTAGCTAATAAAATACTGTAGATTGTGACTTAATACTTCAGTGAGTAAGCTGACTGATTCAGTAGTGTAATGTATTTTGGATACAATGAAGATCTCTGGTTTAAGGCAGGGTAATAGAAAACTAAAGCTGGTATTAAGGAAAAGAGGAAGAAAACAGTTTCCAATTCAGAATTTAATTTCCACCTACGTAATTCATGTGTTATGATGAATTAATGTTCTCAGTTGGAACATCAGACTCTGAGTCTACTTGCAAATTATATTAATTTCAATGCGTATGTAGTGAAAACTGCAATATGTCTAAAATGGCTAGAAAGAAACTTAATTTGAAACTTTATTTTCCTTGCTCAAATTTTCTGTTGAGAAAGAAGCATAATTACATACCTTTAAAAATATATTTCTATGTGTATATTATTATTATAATACCAAATACTTTAAATATATTGGTTTATCAGAAAGGAAGGATAGAATAGGTAGGAGAAAATACAAATAATCTGTAAACTAAATAAAAATAATCAGACTAATACATATATACATATTTATACATATCCCTTTGTACTAGCCACAGTAAAGCCTTGAGACTATAACTTCCACTTTGGAGGAAAATGTTTTCTGAGATTAAGAACAAATGACTGTAAGGAATCTAGTAAAATTAGTTCAAGCAGCCAATTTTAGCTCATTGAATGTCAGATTGACTACGGTACTTAGTAATTTTCTTGGCTGCTAAAATATACAGAATTAAGTGAATATGAAATCTAATCGATGAGGCCTCATTGCCCTCTTTTGTATTTTTCATCCTTTATCAGACCCCTACTTTAGCCAATATCAGCTATTGCTACTGACAATGTGAAGAATGAAAGATATGCTATATTGTGCAGTATATTTGTATACTACACACAAACACAGTAGTTTTAATTCTTCATTATACATACATTCATATGCTATTCTTTTCCAGAGATACCAAGTTGCTTGCAATATAACAAGATTTTTAAAAATCACTTAATATAACCATAAATAGTCCATCTGATGCATCACCGTTTGAGAGTAGCAAGATCTTACTTGGATTTAAATGATTTTCTGATGTGATTTAGATATTACAAAGGGAGGAGAATATCACTTGATCTAGGTTCTGTAAAGAAGGCATTCTCTTGGTGGCAGAACCCTTAGTAAGTCCTCATCCCCAGGTCTTATAGGATGGATGGATTCAACTCAGAGGTCATAGTAACACAATATTCAGAAGCCCCTGAGTCATTTAGGCTTTAAGGATGATATTGAATTGCACTTTGAAACTCATTGGCAGCCAGTACAGCTCCTGTAGTAGTGGTAATATATGAGTGAACCTGAGTGCAGCTATCTAGTCAGGTTGTTGCATACTGTACCATATGAAGCTTCAAAATGAGCTACAAGGGCAGTTCCATATATTTTACATCCAAAATCCAGTTTCAAGGTTCATAAGTAATTGTGAATAAAGCCTCCTGATTTAAAAAAATCAGTCACTGTAACTGACTGTCTTGCTATTGCCTCCACCTACTGTTCAATTAGGAGTGTCAGTCTATGTTGAACCACAAATTGTAAGTCAACTCCATCTGGGAAAACATTATCCTATTTATTTATTTATTATTTATTATTTTAATTTCTATACCGCCCTTCTCCCGCAGGACTCAGGGCGGTGCACAGCATATTAAAACAGATACACATATCAATAAAAATAAAAACCCCTCTAAAACCAAATTAAAACCAAATATTCGAAGCTGTGTTCCAATTAAAATTATACTTAAAATCGTCCCTAAATAAAATCCTCCNCTTTTCTGGGAAGATGGTGTTCTCAAAGATAGTGAGTCAGTCAATAAAAGCATTGCAAGAAAAGTTCAGATAGAAAATCATTTCATTAAGATTAGAGGGACATGTGCATTCACAATCTGTCTGCTTACATTTCCAGGTGATGCACACTTATTTATTCATATATTTATTTATAACGTTTATATAGCTGCTCATTTTATATTGAACCTCGAGTGGCTTCTAAGCAGCAATTAAAACAATATCAGTAATAAAAGAACATAATACCATGCTAAACCATAATATTAAAAAAATGTTGTTGCTGCTGGTACTGTAAAGGTAGATCCCTTCATTTGTTTGATCATTTTATTTCCTGAGCCACTGTGCAATTATGAGCATTAATTCTTTGGTGTAGAGTGAATAGTACTTTTGTTCTTAACTTGTTTTTGTTTGTTTGGGTGCTTCATAGAACAGCTTACACAAGAAGAAATGCATATGCATATTAACCTGTTTTGGATGTGGATTTCCAGATTTCTAAATTATGACAAATGAACTTGAGAAGGATGGTCACCACTCCTTGCTCTTCCTCTCTTGCACAGACTGTAGCCCTTACGTTAAGGTTTAGTTGAAACCAGAGTTCATTCTGAGTCTATAATGGAAACTGATTTAATGCTAGCTAATAAAATACTGTAGATTGTGACTTAATACTTCAGTGAGTAAGCTGACTGATTCAATAGTGTAATGTATTTTGGATACAATGAAGATCTCTGGTTTAAGGCAGGGTAATAGAAAACTAAAGCTGGTATTAAGGGAAAGAGGAAGAAGACAGTTTCCAACTCAGAATTTAATTTCCACCTACGTAATTCATGTGTTATGATGAATTAATGTTCTCAGTTGGAACATCAGACTCTGAGTCTACTTGCAAATTATATTAATTTCAATGCGTATGTAGTGAAAACTGCAATATGTCTAAAATGGCTAGAAAGAAACTTAATTTGAAACTTTATTTTCCTTGCTCAAATTATTTTCTGTTGAGAAAGAAGCATAATTACCTACCTTTAAAATATATATTTCTATGTGTATATTATTATTATAATACCAAATACTTTAAATATATTGGTTTATCAGAAAGGAAGGATAGAATAGGTAGGAGAAAATACAAATAATCTGTAAACTAAATAAAAATAATCAGACTAATACACATATACCGGTACATATTTATACATATCCCTTTGTACTAGCCACAGTAAAGCCTTGAGACTATAACTTCCACTTTGGAGGAAAATGTTTTCTGAGATTAAGAACAAATGACTGTAAGAAATCTTGTAAAATTAGTTCCAGCAGCCAATTTTAGCTCACTGAATGTCAGGTTGACTACTTAGTAATTTTCTTGGCTGCTAAAATATACAGAATTAAGTGAATATGACATCTAATCAATGAGGCTTCATTGCCCTCTTTTGTATTTTTCATCCTTTATCAGACCCCTACTTTAGCCAATATCAGCTATTGCTACTGACAATGTGAAGAATGAAAGATATGCTATATTGTGCAGTATATTTGTATACTACATACAAACACAGTAGTTTTAATTCTTCATTATACATACATTCATATGCTATTCTTGTCCAGAGATACCACGTTGCTTGCAATATAACAAGATTTTTAAAAATCACTTAATATAACCATAAATAGTCCATCTGATGCATCACCGTTTGAGAGTAGCAAGATCTTACTTGGATTTAAATGATTTTCTGATGTGATTTAGATATTACAAAGGGAGGGGAATATCACTTGATCTAGGTTCTGTAAAGAAGGCATTCCCTTGGTGGCAGAACCCTTAGTAAGTCCTCATCCCCAGGTCTTATAGGATGGATGGATTCAACTCAGAGGTCATACATAGTAACATAATATTCAGAAGCCCCTGAGTCATTTAGCCTTTAAGGATGATATTGAATTGTACTTTGAAACTCATTGGCAGCCAGTGCAGCTCCTGTAGTAGTGGTAATATATGAGTGAACCCGAGTGCAGCTATCTAGTCAAGTTGTTGCATACTGTACCATATGAAGCTTCAAAATAATCTACGAGGGCAGTTCCATATATTTTACATCCAAAATCCAGTTTCAAGGTTCATGCGTAATTGTGAATAAAGCCTCCTGGTTTAAAAAATCAGCCACTGTAACTGACTGTCTTGCTATTGCCTCCACCTACTGTTCAGTTAGGAGTGTCAGTCCATGTTGAACCACAAATTGTAAGTCAACTCCATCTGGGAAAACATTATCCTATCCTGGAACAAAGTTGAACAAAGTAAAATAGACGAAGTCATCTTCTAAGTCCACAGTGTCTTGATAGAATTCAGTTTGTTGTTTCTTATAAGCCATATTCTAACAACCTCCAATCACTGAATTAGGACTTTCGCCACATATGTTGCCCAGATTCAGATGGAAAATATGTGATTGAACATCATCAGCCTATTTGATGATATCTCACTTTCTTTTGGCAGATGATCTCTCCCAAGGGCTTCAGATATATGTTAAATTATAGGTGGAAGATAACTGAACTATGCAGTTATTCAGGAACCAATGTCCTGACTTTTGCCATTACCACTGTGGGAACTGACCACTCAAGAATATATCCCATAATTCTCACAGCAAAATGTCTAAATGCTTATAATAATTGCAGGCAGATATCATGATATATGGTATTGAAGGCCACTCACAAATCCAGCAGGACTAGTATAATTATACTCCTTCTATCCCAACCTTCTCAGGGGTCATCAAGTTTCAATTCCATACCCAGGCCTATATGCTGATTGAAAGGAGTCCAGATAATCTTCTTATGTTCAATAAACTATGTGTTTTGTTAGTAATACTGAGTGAACAGATGTAATTAAATATTGTAGACCACAAGCCAGATATTACTATTGTGATTTCAGCTTCAGTCAGTTGTAGATTCCTTACTTAGGGCTTCTGAGAGAGATAGGCTTCATGTTGACAGTTGTTTTGTTTTCTTTTGTTTTATAATGAACAAGGAGAGTGCAGCTAGAGGCAATTGGCTGTCAGTTGGAGGTAATGGAAAAGAGCAGAGCTAGGAAAAGTACAAGCTGTCCAGTCTAATACAACTCTTAGAAATCATCCTGATAAATAAGGATGAAATTAAACATGCATGATATGATGGACTTTCCAGGAGACCAGTGTTTCTCAATCTTGGCAACTTTAAGTCTGGGGAATTCTGGAACTGAAATCAATGTGTCTTAAAATTGTGAAGCACTGAAATAGACTATAGCTTGACCATGTTGCTCATCTGCAGATGTGACTGGAAAAACCTTTTAAAAATCAGTTTCTTTTCTTCATAGTTTTACTATCCCCTCTTCCACTGAATCCTAAACTAAGGTAAGTTTTAATGCTCACAGAATCCTTCCTACCATGTGTGGGCTTTCATCTTTGTCGGGAGGAAGGGGAGGGGAGAGTGATATATGTCTTCCTGCATTGTTTGGCTACTAGTTACAGTTCTAATGCATAAGTTTGTAACAGATAAATATAAGGTTGCATTTTTGAAAATTGTTTTGTCCATAAAATTTTGTTTCTTGTTGTAGGGGATGTGATCAGCCTTGGTGATAGACAGCTCACTGTCATGCACATGCCTGGCCATTCAAGAGGAAGTATTTGTTTGCATGACAGAGAACGGAAGATTCTGTTCAGTGGGGATGTTGTGTATGATGGTTCAATGATTGACTGGCTTCCCTACAGCCGGATAAATGACTACGTTACAACCTGCCAGCGATTAATAGACTTAGTCAATAGGGGCCTTGTGGAGAAAGTCCTTCCAGGGCATTTTAACACATTTGGAGCTGAACGACTGTATCGTTTAGCTTCCAACTATATTTCAAATGCTGGGGTTTGTCACAAGATTTCTATGTGTGCGATGAGATCGGTTGCAAGCCTAGCACTTCGTGCAACAAATTCTAGAACAACTTCATAGTCTTAACTTCATAGCCATGAAGATGCTTATTTTTTATCTAATTAATTTATATTTTAAAAATGCCAATATACATACCAGTAGCTATGCTAAAGCTACTCATCCTTTTTTGTTTCTTTTCAAAGCAAGTTTGCACATATGTTGAATGCTATTTGACAGATGTTCTAAATAAGTTATTTTGTATTTTGAACCATTTTGAAACATATTGCTAAAATAAAAGTTTTGCCCTTGTGTCATCCTTTCTAATGCAGCCTTCAGTTAGGGGTTATGTTGAAAACCTATTTTAAATGGCTGAAATATAGAAGCAAGGGTTGTAAGAAGGGGCTATTAGAACATTCCACTGTCATGTTGAATGCACTAAGTACCTAAGTAATTTTTATTGTATGGGATGAATGTAAATTGAAGTTAATACCAAATGTTCATATCAAATACTGTTGTATGTTATTGTTGTCCTTGAATTGTGTTGCATTTAGGTATTGGTTTTAAAACAAATGAAATGTCATTTAATACTTTAAGTATATTGCTTGCTTTTCAAATATAACTAATGCTGTAAGTGTGAGTGTATAACCATTTTTAAGTAAAACATGCACCTATAATCCAAGGTTCCTAATTTCTGTAATACCACAGTTGCAGAAACACTTCAGTAAGTGTGAGTTGCTGATTGAACAACAGTTGTAAACAAAATGGCATCCAAAACTAACAAGTTGATATTGGGTGATAAGTTCTGTCAGGTGCACATTACATGTGGGTCAGACTTAAGTTTTCACACTTCAGTTATTCTTTTTTTTTCTTCTTTTCACAATTTGCATTGTGCGTCTTTTCAACCAACCTCATAAACATTTCTGCTCTTTATTATTTTCTAAGATATTACTAGTCTCTTGTTTGGATGCAGAGCTTGTATCTTGCATCAGAATTTGATTTATTGGAATCCAGTAAGAATTATAATAAAAATGACCATTTCTTGCAAGAACAATAACTTATTTCAGTATTATGGCCATTGCACTTGTTTTTTTTTCTTTTTGAATTCTATTGCACAATATCTCCCCAAGATCAAAGCAGCACTTTGACTCTTAATACCAGTGTTCAGCACTTGGTATCCTATGAAAGTATAGTTAGTTCTTAAATTGTTAACAGTGCCTATTTCCTGTTCTAAAATACTGCATCATTTTGGCAATTAACACTGGAATTGCTTGGTAAGAAAAACTATTAATTCAGTACCTTTGAATAATAGGGAAAAGGTATCTAACAGTATAACCACAAATTACAAATGCTGTTTGTATGCTATTGAAAATGGTAATCTTCACTGAGGAGCCACACAATTGTGGTCCAAAGATTAGGAGCATGTTGCTGTATTATGCACTCATAGTCAATTCGTTTTTGACCAGAGTTCTTCCTCAAATTGAATACAGTTAAGCACAGTATCAGCTGCAGTATTAAGCACAATCAAAATCTGATTCCTGCTTAATCAAGATTTTCAACCATCTTGGAATCCATGTGAGTTTCTAGTGCCTTGTTTATTTCTGATACAGAATGGTTGACTTTTTGGCCTGGACCATTACAAACTGATTTTGTTATGAAATACTGCTGAGCATTAACAGTTTTATCCATAGATAAAAGAATCCTCTTCTTTTGACTTTCTGTCCCTTCCTCTTCCTTTGCCCATTGACAGTATCTTGAAAGTTATTTTATCAAAGTTTATTTCTCACTACGAGAGTACTTCAGCGTAAGGAATCCTTCAATTTTCAGACTTGTGGAGAAGGACTGATCTGAAACTTTTCTATTCGTTTATAAGTTACCAAGCAACCAGCTACTTATAAAATTTGGTGATTTTAAAGAAAATCTGTGTCTTTTTTCATTCTGATTAGGTATCACAGTAAATTTATCTATTGAAGCTAATAATTACATTTATTAGGAAATATATTCAGACTGGAAGTACCTTCTTTATTGTAATACTGTAATACAAATACTACTCAATTCAGTGAGATTTTATTCCTAGTGAGTACTGGATTGTAGCTTCATTCAAGTTTTAATCTAGGACTGGATTACAATTCAACTTGTGATCATTATTGGTTAGTAAAATACTATCCCTGAAAGAGAATACTATGGAATCCTATCTGTTCTGTTTTAAATATTTTTATATTATAAAATTTAATTCTGAAAGAAAGCATTTTTAAAAATGATACTGATCATATCTTTACTATTATTTTTTTAAAAAGTTTGAAACCACTAAGGGATTCTGTATTTATCTGTTTTTCACAGTTTAAAAACTCAGTAACCTAGTTGAAATAGTTATTTGAAGTTCAGCCATGTTGATATATCATTTCAAGAGATATTATTTAACTGGGTCATGAATATTGCTGTAATGTATGGTTTAAAAGAATTTTTAAAACTTGTAATGCACCGTACTAATAAAAATTTACTAATGGTACTGGTTTCAAGAAAACAATTATATTCTTTATCATTGATATTGATAATAAAAGAATGACACAAAATACTTCTCCAATAAGATTTCAGTTTTTTCTTTTTGATTTATTCCTTCCTTTTTGAATGACAGAATGTTTATTTCCCTTAGGAGAGGTAAGAGGAACGATAGGTGTATAAACAATCAAGGTTTTGGAGGTGGAGTGGGGATGATAGCTTGAACATACCAATTTGTACTTCAAAATACAAATTGAAATAAGTGGCAGGAAACCCCAGGGACACATGGTTAGCCTGCAGTCAAGAGAGAGGTGAAGCAATTGATAATTAGTTCCATACTATTGCCAAAACTCCCCACAAATCTTGTCCATACAGTAACCAAGAATGAAGCTTATTTTGGATTCTTCAAAATTCTGCTATTCCTTATAGTGATATCATTTGTGAAAATGTATCATTTTCAGGATGATCTTGTTTCTAAGACTATTTCATATCTTGCTGTTATTTCAGACATGGCCCTTTTACATTTCTTGTAAGTGTATTAACTACAGTAATTACCCATTAATCTTGATTTTCTTCTTAGTTCACTAATCTGAGTATTATAAAAGTCGTTTTCACTCCAAATGTTTGAGAGTGCATTACACAATTAATGAAATTAAGCTAGTATAATCAACTGCATGTTATCTCCTTTTTAAAAATTATGGCTTATCTCTTCATTTAATGATGGTATAAATATAGGGGTTTTCAGAGCCAAAATTTTAAGTACAATGCTATTTTGCATCAAATCCTTAGTTATTTTGAACTGATTTGTTTTTTTAAAAATGTGCTGTTCTATGTTATCTTTTTGATAACCATTTTAAATACTGAGGATGCCTCTTATCAACACAAAATGCATGATATATACATTAATTTGTCTGGGATGAATTAAAGAAGATATTTGAGGAACTTAACTGAATATATATACAGTATATATATAGCCACCATGAAAGCAAATAATCTTACCAAAGACAAAGCAGATTGAAATCATTGAGATTTCAGAATTCCAGTCTGTTCAATGTGTGCTGAACAATTTATTTTATGATGCCATCTGCTGGTGCAGTTGTATATATGCAAGTAAGATAGGCTGCAATGTCTTCAAGTGTGGCAAAATAAAAGGTTAACATTTGTAAAATTGCTGTTGAAATTTAAATGTTTTCCCCATTTTCATTTATCCTTTTAAAACTACAGAGACATTACAAAAATAAATAATATACTCATATCGTGAATCAGTGGTGGGATTCAGCTGGTTCGCACTATTTCAGCAGAACCGGTAGCTAATTTTTTGTTGCCCAGGCCCAGAATGGACTTCCAGAAGCGGCATCCACACAGAGAACCGGTTGTTCACATACTTAATCCTACCACTGCCTGGAATGCATTTTTTTAAAACTTAAGAGAGTAAGCTTCTTTCCAATTCTGTAAAATTATCCTCTTGGTTGTGCCCCAACCTCAACAGAGCCAAAGCTCTTCAAAGATGACAAAATTCCATTTTTTAGGAATTTAGTTCAGCATCATGTTAACTATGGTTTTCTAAAATTTTATTTACAAATCTAGTGAAATGAAACCAAAACAAGGCTATGACTGAACACGAAATAGTGTTAAATTTTTTTAAAATTGATTACAAAACTATTTTTTAAATCTAATAACTATCAATTTTAAACATTATTTTAGGAAACTAATAAATATGAAATAACATTTTCTGATGAATTACTTTCATTTTTAAACCATAGGTGTATTTCAGTTGATTTCTAATGGTTGCTTTAAAGACATTTGAGAGATATACCATATAAAGTGTGGATATGGGAAATTATATGGGTCAACCATGCTTCAATTAATATAGCTCTCAGCCACAGCATTTTACAGCAATCTTTAACATCTACAATTCTAGACAGCATTGAATGTTTGGAATAATAGTATAAGAAAATTTTACTGTTGATTCAGTCAAATCTCTTGAACAACAAAACACAGCATTGTTTATAGCAGGAGCTAAATATCTAAAAGGGCAACTACAGGGTTCTGTTATATGTAAATAGAGTGGCCCAAATAACTCATACTCAGCAGTATGTGCAATGTGTATGCATGTATGTGTCACATACATTTTTATTGGTTCTTTATCATTAAAAATAAAACCCCTGGTTAACAAACATATTATGGGCTCTTGGGGCCTATGTTAAATGTTCTGTTCTACCTTTAAATCGGAGGAAAGCACATTGACATAAACTATTGCCCCCAGTTTACATTATTGCACCTAGTGATAATGCTGTGAACTTTTGCTATCCTCACAGAATTTAATTAAAGGCAGTTTCAGGGCAGTGATTTGGTGGCTTTTGGTGGAGTGGGATTGGGAATTCAAACCTTTATTTTTATGATTTATGTAGCTTCTATTTTTTACTATGTGCTGCAGACTATTTCTAACAAGACAACTTTCCATATTCAGTATACTGCCACCTAGAAGTCATCCAGATTACTGCAGGAACATGAGAGCACAATAAGTCTTACAGAGTGCAAGAGATAAATAACCCTATGAAATAACTCCTCCCCTTAATCTGCCAGAGCAATTTCATGAACTGATTTGCAA